GGCTGTGCTCACCTCCCCGGAGGGCTCATCTTATGAATCTGAAAGGAAGGAGTTAGTAAAATAGAGCGGGGGGGGGAGGGGGCTCCGTGGGAGCCAGCTTCTGTGGGGATCCGTGCTGAAGCAGCGGGGAGGGGGGCTGACACGAGAGCAGCAGGAGGCCCACACTGGGGGGGGGTTGGACTGTCCCCGTCCCTCTGAGAACTGTGTGGAGCAGAGAAAGAGACACACACCCCTCCCGCTTTCCCCCGTGGGCCGCCTCCCCCCGGAGCCAGGGGGTTGGAGTGGGCAGGGGGAGGGGAGCCCCGCGTCACCCTCCCCACCCCTGTAACCGGGACTCCCTCCCTCCCTCCCTCCGCAGACTCCTTCTGGCTGCGCAACTCGCTGGAGACGGACTCTGACCTCCCGGCGGGATGGATGCGGGTGCAGGACACCTCTGGCACCTACTACTGGCACATCCCGACGGGCACCACCCAGTGGGAACCCCCCCTGGGGAGCGGGAGCAGCGACTCTTCGGGAAACACCCCCTCCAGGGAAACGCAGGTGAGGAGGGGGGAGTCCCTGGGGGCCCCCTCCGGCCAGAACCAGAGGGCCCCTGCAGGTGGAGGAGAATTGGTGTGCGTGCCAGGTGTGTGTGTGTGAGAACACCTCTTCAGCGCCCCAGGATGCTCTCTCCAGTTCACCTGAAGCCCCTCCTGAGCTGACCCCCCCCCCAGGACCAGCTGGAGGGAGCTGCCATGGGCAGGAGGTCCACCAGAGTCTGTGCTTGAGCAGGCTGGTTGAAATGGCTGAGGTTTTTTTTTTTTTTACCTTCTCTGCCCCGTGGCTCAGTGGGTTGGCAAAATAATGGTGGCGGGAAGGGCCGTGAAGTCGCAGCCGACTTCTGGCAACCCCGTAGAGCTTTCAAGGCAAGAGACGTCCAGAGGTGGTTTGCCATTTGCCTGCCCCCACTTCACGATAACCCTGGACTTCCTGGGGTGGGGTGTGTGTCTCCCGTCCGAGTCCTTAGCCAGGGCTGGCCCTGCTGAGCTTCCCTAGCCAGGGCTGTCCAGGTCAGGGCGACAAAACAGTAGTGCTCACCTGTGTTCCCTCTAAGCTGAGTTAGTGTGAGCTAGTGCACAGTTTTCTAGCCTCCAGCTCACACCTTTTCGTCTTAGGATGGGGCTCCAGAGCAGACTAACTTATGCAGCAGCCAAATCGCTCGCTCACAACTTTAATGCGAGTAGCTCACAAAGTGGAATTTTTACTCACAAGACTCCACGGCTCAGAGGGAGCATTGGTGCTCACCAAGCTACCCAAATGAAAAGGTGAAAACTGAATCCCCATGTAAAAGCTTAGTTCGGAAGTAGACCTGGGGGCTCGGTCGTGGCTCATGGCCACGCCGTGGCTTTCCTGCCTTGGCCGCTCAGTTCCTTGGGCTCCATCCTAAGAAATCCAGAACTCTCAACCAAAGCTCCCTCTAAGCTGTGGAGTCCTGTGAGCAAAAATTCTGCTTTCTGAGCTACTGGCATTAAAGTTGTGAGCGAGCGATTTGGCTGCTGCATGAATTCGTTTGCTCTGAAGCCCTCCTTCCTGAGCGGAGACAAAAATGTGTGAGCCGGAGGCTAAAAAAACTGTGAGCTAGCTCACACTCATTCAGCTTAGAAGGAACACTGCTCTCAACTTACTCAAGGATAAACTCCAGCTCTTAATATGACTGCTTAGTTTACTGTAATTAGCCATTGGCTAATTACGAAACACAAATTGTGAACAAGCTATAGGTTTAGAGTCGGAATATACAAAAATACCAGAGATCAGTAACAAGATATGACTAATTTAATACAGTAGCCTGAATAATGCCCCTTCCCGCTGCCACCTTGGGATGTCTGTTCTTGGCAGCCAGGGGCAAATGATGATGAAACTTTATGAGAGACATAGGCATCAATGTCAGATAACAAAAATGAATTTCCCCCCTCAACGGGGTAAGCACTAAGACCAGATAAAATACCTGCTATAGTGAGGTAAATCCTCAAGTTCGTGGGAACCACAAATACATAAGACGATGGGCCAGTGGAGTTTGATTGAATCAGCTCTCCAAAATTGCCGTTGGCATTGATTGAAACCGTAGAGGGGTAAAGGACGCTCTGAGTACGTGTTTAGAGATATTACCAAAGTATGGAGTTCTAGTGTGGTCCAGTTTAATTAATTTGTACCATGGTGCTGCGGTGGCTCAAGTGGTTAAGACGCTGAACTGCAGGCTGTGGAAGGTCGGTAGTTCAGCAGTTCGAGACCCGAGTGTGCCGCATGACGGAGTGAGCTCCCGTCTCCAGTTCCAGCTCCCGCCAACCTAGCAGTTCGAAAGCAAGAAATTGCAAGTAGATAAATAGGGACCACTTCGGTGGGACGGTCACAGCGTTTCGTCCGCCTTCGTGTTTAGTCAGGCTGGCCACATGACCACGGAAACGTCTTCGGACAGCCCTGGCTCTTCGGCTTTAAAACGGAGATGAGCACCGCAACCCTAGAGTCGGACTCGACTGGCTTTCGAGCAAGGGAACCTTTCCCTTTACCACGGTGCTGCCTTAATGTGACTGAAACCTCCATATTGGGGGCAGACCCTCCGGCCAGGAGACGCAAGTTCCGCTTCGGGGGGCTTCTCTGTCCGGTTTGAACTGCGGACTTGCTCACAGCTTCTGGTCTTTACTTCTGTGCTGTGGCACCCCCCAGCTGGGGGTAACCTAGGAACCCAGGTCCCTGTTGTCGATGTCTGAAGGAGGGAAGGAAGGAAGGAAGGAAGGACCCCCCCACCCACCCACAGGGGGGAAGGTGGGCAGCCCCCACAAACTCCTCGCTACCATCCCGTGCCCACAGGCAGGAGAGTTGGAGACCTGCAGGGGGGTAGGGGGGCAGGGCAGCCTCTTGCTGCAGTCTCACCTGACGCGTGCCCCCCCCCTTCCTCGGCACACTTTGCAGCTTACCTGGATGGATTTTGGGGAGGCTGAACACTCGGACGAGCCCCATTACTGGAAGGTGAGTCGCTGAAATGGGGGAGGGGGAAGGGAGGGGGTCCCTCCCAGGTGGGCGTGCCGCCCCCTCCCTGCTCACCCCCTCCCCTTCCCTCTCGGCCCCAGGATGCCCCATCAGAAGAGGTGACCCCGGAGCCCCAGCGGGACCAAAGCCAGTCCTCCTCATGCCTGGGATCGCCCAGCGCCAGGTGAGCGGCGGGCACAGGACCGGTGGGGGCACAGGCACGTAGCCCCCCACCCCCTTTGTGACAGAGGGCGTGGCCATTCATTCAGCCGGACTGGCTGATGGGGCGGGGGGGGCGGGAGGGGGGTTGTTGGCTCCGCATTACGAAGGCCACCCAGGGAGGCCGGGGCTGTCCCCTGCTTTTGTGGGCCCCGTATCCTGCCACCACATCTGGGGTGTCCAGGGCTCGGGGGCGGTCTGGGGACCCAAATGGGGTGTGTGTGTGTGTCTCCCTGAGAGCCAGTTTGGTGTAGGAGAGCCAGATTTGGTGTCGTGGTTAAGTGCGCGGACTCTAATCTGGGAGAACTGGGTTTGATTCCCCACTCCTCCACTTGCAGCTAGCTGGGTGACCTTGGGTCAGTCACAAGTTCATTCAGAGCTGTTCTCTGATGGGCAGTCCTCAGAAGAGCTCTCTCAGCCCCACCCACCTCACAGGGTGTCTGTTGTGAGGAGGGGAAGGGAAAGGAGTTTGTCAGCCGCTCTGAGACTCCGAGTGAAGGGCGGGGTGGAAATCCAATTTCTTCTTCTTCCCTCAGCCCCCTGTTGATTGGTTGGGGGGGGGGTTCCTCAGGGGTGGGGGAGGTGCTCTTGGCAGGCGGCCTGGGGGTGACTCCGGTGCGAGTAAATGTCTCTCTCTTTGCCCCCCACAGTTCTTCCCTGGGTGAGGATGGTGACGCCGTGGCCGCATCCCTGGGCCTCAGCCAAGGCTCCAAGGTAGGACCGGGGGGCCGCGTGGTCGCTGTCGCTACAGTGCTGGGAAGCAAAGCCACGACTGTCCCCTCTGCGTGCGCGCAGGCCAGATCCGTTTACCAAACAAGCTGAGCAGCCAGATGCCCCGAAGGCCCCGGGAGAGACGTGACTCTGCTCCCAGGAAGGAGAAGAGGAAGGCCGGGCTCTGCCTGGCACGGGGAGGGGGGGGAGGAGGAATCCGGGAGTGGCAGGGGGCCGCAGGCCCCTCCCCCTGTCTCCCAGCAGCCCCCTGCTGCCCCCCTCCCCTCCCCTCTTCACCCCCATGTGTTTGCCTTCACCCGGCCACCTTTTCCTCTCACTCTGTCGTGGAATGAGCGGGCCCTTTCTCCCTGGACTAGGGGAGGAAGCCGCTCCTTGCCCCTCCCTTTGGCCTCCTAGGGGGTGTGCCCCCCTTCCCCAACTCTCGAAATCTCCCCCCCCCCGTTGCTGCCTGGCGGCATGACGCTTAAAGGGTGATCTGGCCGTGGCGTTGTGGGTACAGAAGGGTGCCCGGCCCCTCAGTTGAAGGGCGTCCTTAACCGCAAGGCACAGACTCCTTGGTGGCGACAACGGAGCAGATCTAGGGGCGGGACAGGGAAGGGGGTGGGAGGCGGACTGCGGCATGTGTAGCCCCCCCCCCCGGCCGCTGCTGGACTTCCCCCTCCAGAGAAATGGACACCCCCCTTTCCAGACCCCCTCCTCCCAGGTGGGCATCAGCCAGTCTGGGCGCCCGGTCCTTGGGCTCAGGCCCGCCAGAACAGGGTCCCTCCAAGCAAGAGGTGTGGACTCCTCAAAGAGATGGCCTGTCTCCCCTCTGGGCTTGTGCCTGGGGAAGGACCGTGTTCCCTCTAAGCTGAGTTACCTCGCTAAGCTACCTCGCAGCTCCTTAGCCTCCGGCTGACACATTTTTGTCTTGGCTCAGGAAGGTTGGGGCTCCAGAGCAGACTGATTTATGCAGCAGCCAGATCGCTCGCTCACAACTTTCATGCCAGTACCTCACAAAGTGGAATTTTTGCTCAAAAGACTCCACAGCTTAGAGGGAGCACTGCGAAGTGTATCTTCCCCATGTTGTGTGTTGCCACCGTGCTGGTCTGAAGCAGAACAAAGCTTGCCTGAGTCCCGTGGCACCTTTAAGACCAACAAAGTTTTCCTCAGGGTATGAGCTTTCCTGTGCATGCACAAAGTTTAGTTCTGGGTGCACAAAGTGCATGCACACGAAAGCTTATGCCCAGAATGAAACTTTGTAGTCTTAAAGGTGTCCCTGGACTCAAACTCCCCCCCCCCCATAGTTTGCCAGTCTCTGGGACAGTCTGTCCCCACGTCCAAATCCATAACAGTCACAGCCTATCCACGACGCCCTCTCCCTCTGACTGATCTTCCCCAGGTGTCCCCTTGAGGCCCGCTCGTCTGGAGAAGAGTCACAGGCCCAGGGAGGGCAGGTGGGAGAGAGAGACCGGAGCCCGAGTGCGGGTCTGTGCCTCTGTTTGTGGGTGAAGGGGCCGGTTCCTCGCTGCCTGCCTCACGTGTGTGTGCCTCTGCCCCCCCCCTGTGTTTCCTGCCAGTGTTTCTCGGTCCGTTCTCTGGGCTGGGTGGAGATGTCCGAGGAGGAGCTGACCCTGGGGAGGAGCAGCGTGGCCGTCAACAGCTGCATACGGCAGCTCTCGGCTCAGAACCCGGACCTGACGGGCTCCTGGGCCAAGGTGAGAGGCGGGAGGGAGGGAGGGAGGGAGGGGTGTGCGCGCACGCAAACTCCCGACTTAGCACAGGTTTTGGGGTGGGGTGGGGAGACCTCCTTTCCCCCTCTGCAAAGCCCCTGTGCAGGGCTGCTCTGCCTCCATTCCTGAGGATCCAAACAACAAGGGGGAAAGACTAGTGTCACAGGAGTCCCAAATGTGCAAATTCCACTAGTAGAAAACACCGTCAAAGATTGCCAGAACAATAGTGTTGTTGTTCAGTCGCACAGTCGAGTCCAACTTTTCGCGCCCCCATGGGATCAGGTCACGCCAGGCCTTCCGGTCTTCCGCCGTCCTCTGGAGTTTGCTCAATTTCATGTTCGTTGCATCTATGACACTGTCCAACCATCTCATCCTTTGCCGTCCCCGTCTTCTTTGCCCTTCAGTCTTTCCCAGCATCAGGGTCTTCTCCAGTGAGGGCTCCCTTCTCATTGGGTGGCCAATATATTTGGTGGCCAAAAACAATATATTAAGAACATAAGAGACGCCAATGTTGGATCAGGCCAAAGGCCCATCCAGTCCAACACTCTGTATCACACAGTGGCCAGAAATACCAGTGCCATCAGGAGGTCCAGCAGTGGGGCCAATTTAAACAATTTATATTTAAACAATGTTCAATATTAAACAATTTATATAGTTGGTGGTGTCACAACAACAACATGAATGCATACTGTAACTATAATAAGGCATAAGACACAATGGGTGCGTTCAGACGGGGGCTTTCTGCCGGCATAAACTGCACTGGTTGGAACTGGTTCAGTTTATGCCGGCAGAAACGCGATCATACTCACCCTCCATTTTGCGGATCCCTCCGTTGGACGCCCGCTCACACGCTGCGAGCGTCGGCGTGTTTTTTTTTAAAAGCAGTTTGAGCATGCGCATAGGCAGCCATTCAGAGAATGGCGATTTTTGCGCATGCTCAAACCCCCCCCCATTACATTTAAACTTTAAAGGTAAGGACTTACCTTTAAAGTTTAAAGCCCAACCTTGCCTCCCTGTAGTCCTGGACTCTTCCGGGACGTTAAAGTAAGGGCTTTTTTTTTTCCTCTTAACAAACGCTCGGGGCGAAGCTTCGCCCGAGCGCATATCGCTTATTTAAAAAAAAATACGGCGGGGGAAAGCCGGAAGCCTCAGGCTTCCGACGGAAGTGGCTGTACAACGTTGCACTCTGTTTACCACCACTTGGGACCTAGTGGCAGAGTGCAACGGTTTAAAGGGATTTACAACGGTTAGGGACGGGAGGCAGATGTTCGCCGTGTGAACGCCCGTAAGTACACCGGTTGGAACCGGCACCCTAACCGTTGTAAATCCCCCGTCTGAACACACCCATGATTTCCTCCTTTGAAGATAAGACATAAAGTACCACGTACTCCGTGTCACTTGATAACTTGATAGGAGGAGTCCCGCATCGTCATAACATATTCCAAACAGTCTTTGCGAAGACGCCCATTTTAGACACTTGCAAGATGCGTTTCCTTCGACTTCTTCAGTTTGCCGGCTGCGCAGGTGGAACCTGATTTCAGCAATTTCAACAGACCCCAAGGTTCACCGTGTGAGAAGCGAATCGTAGGTTTTCTACCAGTGGGATTTGTATGTGTGGGACTCCATTCCCGAGGAGGCCTGTCCAGTGCCGGCGTGCCCCGGGGTCCTGTGGGTCAGCCCGTCAGCCCCTCTGCCCTCCTTCTCTCCGCTGCAGGGCAAAGCGATGCTGCTGGTCCTGGAGAAGGAGACCCTGAAGCTCCTGGAGCCGGAGGGGCAGAGCGTCCTGCACAGCCAGCCCATCGGCGACATCCGCGTCTGGGGCGTCGGGAGGGACAGCGGGAGGTACGTGGCGGGGGGGGGAGTGGTTGTGCGTGTGTGCGTGTGTGGTCTGCGGGGGGGAGGGGGAGCTTCTGCGGTGGCACAGGGCCTGAAGTCTTCCTGGCATGGGAATTGCTCCTGGGGAGAGGTCCCCTGTCATGGTCGGCGCTAGAGCATGGCTTCTGCAAAGGGAAGTCCTGCCTTACCAACTTTTGGAGTTCTTTGGGAAAGTGAACAAGAATGTAGATAATGGTGACCAATGTTCCCTCTAAGCTATGGAGTCCTTTGAGCAAAAATTCTCCTTTGTGAGCTACTAGCATTAAAGTTGTGAGCAGATGATTTAGCTACTGCATAAGTTAGTTTGCTCTGGAGCCATCCTTCCTGAGCTAAGACAAAAACTTTTTAGCCAGAGGCTAAAAAACTGTGAGCTAGCTCACACTAACAGCTTAGAGGGAACACTGGTCTCAACACCCCTCCTGGCACGTGTGAAGGTCTTTTTTAAAAACCATCTGTCCATTTTGTCATGTTCAACACATGGGACTACATAAGGGACAGCGTATAGTACAATACTCATGGAGCAAGGCTTGACCATCTAGACCGAGTTCAGTATCTCTTTATTTATTTATTTATAATTCGATTTATATCCCGCTCTCCCCAAACGGGCTCAGGGCGGCTAACAAATTAGGCACCAGGCCATGATTAAAACAACTAGTAATTAGGGCACAAAGCCGTGATTAAAACAGACGATAATACAATCCAATACTGTACTGAAGTGCCGGTGCTCTAGGTGTTACTGCTAATGACTAATTCCTTAGATTTATTTCTGTTCCCAGAACTAATGAAGGGAGACCAGAGTCCAATGTTCCCTCTAAGCTGTGGAGTGAGCAAAAATCCTACTTTGTGAGCGACTGGCATTAAAGTTGTGAGCGAGCGATTTAGCTACAGCACAAATCAGTTTGCTCTGGAGCTGTCCTCCCTGAGCGAAGACAGAAATGTGTGAGCCGGAGGCTAAAAAACTGTGAGCTAGCTCACGCTAACTCAGCTTAGAGGGAACACTGGACCATACTTGTACAAACATGTCTGGTGCATATCTGTCTCCATTCCAGAACTTCATATGTGCAGATATTCTCCCCATAAGACGGTACCCCCTGCATTCCTTAGGACAAAGTTTGAGTCCAGGGGGTGTGCACATCGGAGCTCATAACCTGGAATTAAACTTCGTTGGCCTAAAAGGTGCCGCTGGACTCAAACCTTGTTCAGACGCTTCACACCGACACGGCGACCCCACCGGGAACATCCATTCCTTTGGCACCTCTCCGTACAGCAGCTCTTCACCGTCTGGCTGATCTGAATCAATTCCCTATTAACCACATGGTGTTAACCGGGATTCCCCTGGGGCATAATGTTCAAACAAGCCACACTGAGTTATTTTCATATTTCTCTATGCAGAATTTCTCTCGCTAACGTACCCCTTATTCCGAGAAACCTTTTATATTTGGCCACTGCCACCGGCTGTGGATGAATACGCCCGTTATGTCTTTTACGTCCCCAGCACATCTTTGATGTGGAGGATGTTGTTTTTCCTTAACCTGTCTGGTGTCAAACACCACTGAGCTGCGAGATTAAGAACGCTTCCCCTTATTATCGCTCCATTTACGGAAAGTCCGGCTTTGGCTGCGTCCCTTGGAACTCCCCTTCCTGGGTCGTAAGGAGAGCCCTGCTGGATCAGGCCGGCAGTAGCCCCCCCAGTCCAGCATCCTGTTCCAGACGGTGGCCGGCTAGTTGCCCCAGAGGGCCAATAAACAAGGTACAGAGGCTGAGGCCATCTCCCGATGCTGCCTCCAAGCACTGGGATTCAGAGGTCTGCTGCCTCTGGATGTGGAGGTTCCCTTTACTCTCTATGGGCAGGAGCCACGGCTCGACCTCTCCTCCGCGAATCTGCCCCCCCCTCAAAGCTGCTCCCTGAGTAAAGAGCTCTTTTATTTTTTTCTAAAAGATTGTATTTGAAATTAAACATATAACCTGTAACAAACATATAACATCATATAACAAACAACAAACAACATATAACAACAAAGAGTGTAGCAAGACAATAATGATTCAAACAACGTTGGTTATGATGTGTGAACTCAGCCTACTGGCCACTAGCCTTATACAAAATGCTTTTGCATGGCCTAAACCCTACTGCTTACACCGGCCTATGAGAAAGTTAGAAGCAGTTGCAGATATACCAGTCTACAAATTTATGGTACCTCAAATTCAGAAAGAACTCTTTTGTCTGTCCCGTACCCATCGCCTGTCAGGGACACTGAGTGTCCCCAAGGGCTGGTATTTTTGGGGAGAGAAGCAGCTCTCTCTCCCCCCCCCCTCAATCAGGTGCGCCCTTTGCTTACATAAGAACATAAGAGACGCCAATGTTGGATCAGGCCAAAGGCCCATCCAGTCCAACTCTCAGTGTCACACAGTGGCCAGAAATACCAGGTGCCGTCAAGAGGTCCACCAGTGGGGCCAGGACATTAGAAGCCCTCCCACTGTTGACCCCCTCCAAGCACCAAGAAGACAGAGCATCCCTTGCCCCAGAGCCCCTATCTATACCTTGTGGCTAATAGCCACTGATGGACCTCTGCTCCATATGCTTATCTAATTCCCTTTTGAAGCCGTCCATGCTTGTAGCCGCCACCACTTCCTGTGGCAGGGAATTCCAAGTGTTAATCACTCTTTGGGTAAAGAAGTACTTCCTTTTATCCGTTCTGACCCGACCGCTCTGCAGTTTCATGGAGTGCCCACAAGGAGTTCTTGTATTGTGAGAAAGGGAGAAAAGTACCTCTTTCTCTACCTGCTCTTTCCCATGCATAATCTTATAAACCTCGATCATGTCACCCCTCAGTCGTCTTTTCTCCAAGCTAAAGAGCCCTAAGCGCTTTAACCTTTCCTCATAGGGAAAGTATTCCAACCCTTTTATCATTCGAGTTGCCCTTTTCTGCACTTTTTCCAAAGCTATAATATCCTTTTTAAGGTGTGGTGACCAGAACTGCACACAGTATTCCAAATGAGGTTGCAGCATTGATTTATATAGGGGCATTATGATATTGGCTGATCTGTTTTCAATACCCTTCCTAATAATCCCCAGCATAGCACTGGCCTTTTTTATTGCTTGTTGTTCTCTCCGCCAAAAAGCCCCGGGCGCTCCGCTTTTCCCCTTCAGAGCGGGTTTGGGGTTTGCAAGAGCTGCTGTGGGGCACGAAGAGCCCAGCCCGAGCCCCCTTTCCCAGGGCATCCCATAGGGGGTGGGGGCAGATGGTGCGGGGGGAGTGCCCCGGCCAGAGAGGCTTGGCGGGGGAGGGGGGAGGTGGGCTCCCGCAGGTCTCTTGCTAACTGTCTGCTGTCTCTCTCTCTCTCTCTCTCTCTCTCCCCCCTCCTACCTTTGCTTTGCTTTGCTTTGCTTTGGGACTCAGGGAGAGGTACGTCTCGGGGCTTGCAACTTCTCCTCCTCCCTTTTGGCTCACCCTCCCCTGTGGATTTTGGGAACTGGGGGCTGGTGTTTGTCAGCCTCACAGCCTCTTCCCTTGGTTTGCTGCTGGAAGCTCATTTGGCTGAAGCCCCCACCCCCCCTCGACCTAGACAGGACTGTGGGAGTGGAGGGGAGGGGAGGACGCCCCCTGGTCTGTGTCTGAAGCCGTGCCCCTCTCTCTCTCTCTGGGCCCAGGGATTTTGCCTACGTGGCGCGTGACCAGCTGGCCCAGATGCTGAAGTGCCACGTCTTCCAGTGCGATGCCCCCGCAAAGAGCATCGCCACAGGGCTCCACGAGATCTGCTCCAAGGTGAGGCCCGGCCCCTCCCCACCTCCGGCCCCTCCCCCTCCCAGCGCCTGGCACCAGTCGGCCTGGCCGGCCCTCAAGGGGCAGCTGCTCTGTGCCACTAAGTTTGCTCGAGGAGGGGCTGTCGGAGGCCCCCGGGGGGGGGGAGCACCAGCCCCCTCCCTCCCTCCCTCCTTTCCTTGGCTGCACCCCGAGGTGCCCCGGAGCCCAGGAGGGGCTGCTTGAGGGCTGTAGGGTTGCGGGGTGTGGGGCTGGGAGCCGAGCGTCTCTGCCTGCAGGCAGAGAAGGAAGCTGGTTTCTGGTCCCTGGAGATGGAGTGCAAAAAAGAGCCAATGGCTGAGGGGCGTGGCCTTCCATTACGCTTGGTGGTCTCCGGATCCACGTTGGTCTGGCCTTCGACCAGGGCTCAGGGCTGGAAGGGCCTCAGTTGCCCTGGTGGACCCTTGGCCCTGGGAGGTGGGCCGGGGGGGGAGCGGTGTCCCTGGGGGAGACCTTCTGGCCGAGAGGAGCCTGGCCGGCCTGGAGTTATCCTCCCCTGCCTTTCC